CCCGGCGGGGCCCGCGGCTGGGGCTCCGGGTCCTGGATCCCGCGGGGCGGGTCCCAGGATGGGCTCTCGGGGACCCGGCCTGTCTGCGCCCTCTGGCGGTTGCAAGGGACTGTGCAGGAGCCCCTGTGTTAACCTATTCTCTTTTCAAGGGAAGATCAAGCCAGAGTACTCACAGCACATCATTATTTCGTTTTTTCATTTATTCACTCATCCATGCATCCATTCGCTCATATCCACACACTCTATTCAACAAATATTCATTTGCTGTCATAACGTCTGAGATTTTAAGCCCCATCTATCTCCCTCTTTCTCGCTCGCTCTCAGACTCCTCATGCCAGATAGTATCCAGGGGTCCTCTCCCTCTCTGGTCATTTCCAGTCTCCCCCTCCCCAACTCCCCTAGGCAATGGGGATAGATCAGTGAACAAAACAGACCAGTCCTCATGAAGTTGGCATTCTTGTGGTGGAGACAAGCAGTAACGTAAGTAAGTATAGCATATTACAGTTTATTAGAAGACGATCAGTTCTATGGAGAAATATGAAGCAGAGAAAGAGAAATGGATTGAGGGTGGGGTTGCAATTTTAGCGAGAACAATTTAGCGAGAGCAAGAATTAATTTAAAACTTTAAAACTTCTATTTGGCCCTGTCCTTCTCCTGCTTAAGACTATCCATAATTAGGCAATGTTTTCTTAGATATGATACCAAAAGCAAAGCAAGAAAAGAAAAAAATAGATAAATTGGACACCATCAAAATTTGAACTTTTGTGTTTCAAAGAACATCATCAAGAAAGTGGAGAGACACAACATTGTAAAATGACTGTAACTCAATAAAAAAAGTTTAAAAAAAAAGAAAGTGAAGAGACAACCCACAGAATGAGAGAAAAAATTGCAAATCATGTATCTGAGTAGGTACTTGTATTTAAAATAAAGAAGTCATGGAATTCAATAGTAATAAGATGACCCAATTAAAAAATAGACAAAGGATCTGAAAAGACATTTATCTAAAAAAGACATACAAAAGCCAATAAGCACATGAAAAGATGCTCAAAATCATGTGGAAAATGCAAAGCAAAACGGCAATGAGACAACACTTCACACAGTAGGTTGGCCATAATTTTCTCAAAATGGAAACTACCAAGTGTTGGCAAGGATGTGGAGGAATCAAAACCCTTATGATGGGGATGTAAAATGGAACAGCTATTTTGGAAAACAGCCTGGCAGTTCCTTAAAAGTTTAAACTTAGAGTAACCATACGATCCAGCAACTCCATTCTTAGGTATATGCCAGAGAATTGAAAACATGCCAGGCACAGTCCCATCCTAGCACCTTTGCACTAGCTGTTCCCTCTCTCAGGAAAGCTCTTCCCTAGAATGACATCAACGGGGTTCACGTCTTCTCCCTGAGATGTCACCTGTGCTGTGAGGGCTCCTCTGACCATCCTATTTCATACTGCAACTCCCATACTCCTTACCTGGCTCTATGTTTTATCCATAACACTCACTGCCTTTTAACATTGTATATAATTTACTCATTTTATTTATTGTCTGTTTTCCAAGTAGTGGTATACTAAAGGGAGGGAAATAGGGGTGGTCCACCTTGGGTATAGGCAAAATGGGGTGCACTGTCTGTAGAGAACTTTAAAATAATAATAAAACTGACCCAAAGTTGGCCAAGTTTTTATTATAGCATATGCACTGACAAATTCAAAACCGTATCAGCGATAAAAATAATCCTCCCACCCCCAGGAAACAATCATTTGTTGGTGTACTTACTGAACAATTGATGCAATACTGTTGAGTTTTAATAATATATATGTAAGCTTCAAATTAAATATTTTTATTACTGTCTCCTCTATTAAAAATTGTATGTGTATTAGTTTTCTCTTACTGTGTAATTAATTACCACCAACTTAGTGGCTTAAAATAACACACATTTCTTATTTCAAAGTTTCTGTGGATCCAGTCTAGTCATGGCTTAGCTGGGCCCTCTGCTCCAGGGCCTCACCAGACTGCAATTCAGGTGTCAGTCAGGGCTGTCATCTCATCAGAGGCTCGACTGGGGAAAGATCTGCTTCCATTTGCTTGCGGTTGTAGGGATAAGGTCTTCATTTTCTTGCTGGCTATTAGTGGGGTTTGCTGTCGGCTCCTAGGGGCCACCTACAATTCCTTGCCATGTGGCCTTCTCCATAGATTCTTTGACAAATGTGATGGCTCATATCTTCCAAAGCCAGCAATGGAAAGTGTCTCTCTTTCCAGTTCCACAAAGACAGAGTTTCATATAATATCATGTAAACACAAACCTCCTTTGCCATTTTCTATTGGTTAGAAGCAAGTTCCAGGTCCTGCTCCCACTTGAAGGGAAGGGATTATACAGGCCATAAACATGGTAGCTGTCCAATATCTGTTTGCCACAATATTCTATAGGGAAGTTAATATAGGGAACTCCCAAATATACGGTTGACCTCTGTCCTACGAAGACTCAGCTATGTGTGTTCATTCTGAAAATAAGTTCATAACAATTTGGAATCATTTGGGCTTGTGTCAGGCACAGTTTGAGTCTCCAATGTCTGTGATTCAACATATTCTTGCATCTAAATAATAGATTAGAAATTAAAATTATAGCACAATGATTATAAAGATGAAGAAATTATTCTGTCATTCTACATGTTTTTGGGAGTTTTTGTGTTTAAAATTTTAAACAGTGAATCAGGGTATGAACTCGGAGGTATAATATTTTTATTTGTTAAGTACAAATTTTCATTCCTACATGAAATATTTTACTGAATTTGAGTAATATCTTTAAAATGGAAATTTATTCATTTTCAATTATTAATTTTAAAGTGAAAGCACAAATATCATAATGATTCTTACATGATTATTATTAAAAATAATTTTTTGGTAGACAGGAGGAGGTATAAAAATATTATCCACCGCAGGTGTTGTTACTGAACGTGCAAAGCCAATTTACTGACAAGGGCTTGTGGTAAAGGAAAGCACAGTGTTTATTTGCAGGGTGCCCAGCAAGGATAATGAGCAGCTCATGCTCAAAAGACTTGAAATCTCCGATGGCTTTCAGGAAAGGGATTTTAAGGGCCACATTTGGGGTGAGGCTTGCAGCACATGGACCTTTTTCTGATTGGTTGGGGTGGTGATGTTTTGAGAATCTTAATCATCAACCTTCTGGGGTCTACTTGCTTGTGGTCAGCATGTAATTGCCATCCTCCACCTGGACGGGGTCTTAGTTTCTGCAGAACAACTGAAAGATACGTGTCAGATTTTTATGCATACCCCTTGAGGGGGAACGTCTGACTCTTTTTATCACTGAACTATTGTTTCTTGCCTGTTTCCATTGTTTCTGCATTCCCAAACGTCCCTAATTAGTAACTGCTTAAGATCTTTAGAACTCAGGGAAGGCCTTGGAGCCTTTGTCTACAAACAATAAACAGAGGACTTTTGGACCTGGGAGGGCCCTACAGAGTCCTGCTCAGTTTCAGCCCTGCCTTTTCTTTGATGCTCTTCTGTCCTGAGGGAAACAGGGGCGGGACAAGAAAGGGAATAAAGTTTTGGATAGAGAGGTTAATCATAAACATGAACTCGGTTTAGGGGGCTTGGTTTCAGTGTCAGATATGCTAGATTCCTCACTGTTCTCAACACTAGAAAGTGAGTTTCAACAGGCCAGGAATTTTGCTTTGTTCACTGTTGTATCTTCTCCAGCATTGACAACAGTACTTGGCTCACAGTGGGTGCTCAAAGAATGTGCGGAATGAACGAACAGATGTGTGAATGAATCAACAGGCCTGTGCCTCCTCTCCAGCCTCAGCTCTCACTGCAGTTCTGTTTTTCAGCTCAAGCCTGGGTTTTAGTGGGATGGGGTAGGGGTATGGGGTTCAGGTGCTGAAGAGAACTCCGGCCTCACATTTCAGACTCTTGAGTCCCAGGTCCTCAATGCAAGATTAAAGAAGATGGTGGGAATAAAACTTTGTTTAAGGTAAACACCATTCTGATAACCCAGTTAAGGCTCTTCACATATTAGTAGGTCAAGAGGGAGTCTGAGTAGTGGGGGTGGCCCTGGCTCCAATAATGCACTGATGTCTTTCTTGCTTCAGGACTTCTGCATTTGTTGTTTGTTTGGAATGTCTGTCCTTCAGCCCTATTTATCCTTCAGGGTTCATTATCAAAACCACCTCCCCCACCTCCCAGTCCTCTGTTATTTTCCATCCCAGCCCCCAATCCATTTGCTTCATAGCATTGTTGGGTATTTTCAATAATACTGCACTTAAGTCATCCTGTTGGTCATCCTCTGTTTTTATGCCTGCCCTAATGCACCCCTCTTTCGGGATTCAGCTCATACATCCCTCTTTCAGGAAGCCTGCCCTGGCCCCCAATCTGCTGAGATGCCTCCTCTGGGTTTCACTCCTTTCAGGCCTGATTACTCTACATGTGCTTCCCCATCACAGCCCTGACATCTATTCTTGCCTGGTGAAGTATTTGTCTTCACCTCAGGACTGGGAACCGTGGACGCAGGATGTGGGGCTCTTGCTCATTCATGGCTCTATTACCTTCTCTGGCAAGCCCTCTATGAACCTCTCTCAGGCTGAATGGGGAACTTATCTGGGCTCCCAGGTCTTGCACCACCCCAGCCCCTGATCACTCAGACTGTGCTTCCTACATCACATCCCTAATCACTCTGCCCTATGCTTCTGTCATCACTACTCTGGTCGGTTTCTGTCTGGTGACGCAGGGACTGCTCTGGCGTGGTCACCCCTGGATTTCCTGCAACACTCCGAGTAGGCGCTCAGTGAACGCTGAATTTAGGAACGAATCCCTGGCCCTCAATGGAAGGCTGAGGCGAGGCAGGCAAAAACCACAAGTTTCCAATAAGAGCACGACTGCGTCCTCTTCTCTCACCCTGAGGCCCAGTCCACGCTCGAAGGTGCTCGTACCTAGTGATCTATCTCCAAGGCAAGGGCATCAGGAGCCCCGGGACTCAGCGGGAGAGCGCCTCCTCCCGGGCTAAAGTCCTACCCGGAGCGGAGCCAACGCAAGCCCCGCCCCCTTCCCCCAGCGCCAAGGGCGGGCCCAGGTGCGCTCTGGGAGGAGGAGGGCCGCTCAGGTGCCTGCTCCCTGCGCCTGCGCTCTACACACCCCGCCTCGCCAGGTGCGCCCCGCCCCCTCCCTGGCATCCACCTTCGGTAGCTGCTTCCCGGCGGCCGCCATTGCCTCAAGCGCCCGCCAAGCGTTTGTGGGTGTAGCTGGGTTCTGAACTGGGGGAGAGTCGGGGGCGAGCGAGGAACGGACTGAAGCATCGTGGGCAAAAGAGGCAGGGTGACCGCACACCTAAGGTCCGAGAAAGGGGCTTCCCGGGCACCTGCTGTGTGGCGAGAGCCAGCGCAGCACCCCGCGGACCCTTCTGCGAACGCCCGCACCTGAGCGCGAGGCGCTCCCGTGCGCGTGCGCGGGAAGGGTCTTCCCGCACCTGATCGCGAGACCCCAACGGCTGGCAGCTCGCGGCCTTGCCTGGGTGGCCGGGTGGAGCTCGTCATGGCGCAGCTGTGTGGGCCGAAGCGGTGCTGGGCTCTCCTCGCCCTGCTGGCATCGCTGCTCCTCTCTGGGGCTGAGGCGGCCGATGGAGAACGTGGCGTCCACGGTGAGGTTCGGGGCGGGTCTCCCGGGAGGAGTGGAGGGCCGAGAGGCCGAAGGAGGGGCGTTAGGGGCAGAGTTGGGGGTGTAAGTTGGGGTCCGTGGGGGCCTGGGCACGGTCTGAGCGAGGAGAATTGGCGGGGGTGGGGGAAGTTGGGAGCGACTTGGTGACGCTTAGAGGGTGTCGTGGAGCCAGCCCTGGGAGGTAGAACCTTGAGAAGGAGATTTGGGAGCCCCTGGGAGGGAGGACAGGCGGAGGAGCCGGGCTGGGGAAAGTTTCCTGAGGGGGAGGGAGGAGACTAGGGCTGTTGACCTAGAAGGAGTGGCTTTGGCCGTTCCTGTGGCAGGAAGAGGGTGAGGGGCCAAACTGAAGACCAGCCTCTTCCTGGCAGCGGAAAGTTCCGGGGCCCAAGAAAGTCCTAGGAGGCCTGCCTCAGAGGGCGGGGCTTGGATTAGGTGACTTGGTGGCTGTTTTAGCCTCAGGGAGGAGGCCCTCACCCCTCCCCCACCTTTGGAAATTGGACAGCGGCCTCCTGAGAAACCTTTCTGGTTCATACGCAGTAGAGCGCCTTCCAGAAGAAAGGTGGATACCCAAAGGAAGGCGAAGAAAAGCGGAAGTATTGGGGGGCACTTTGTCACGGTGCAAGGGTGGGAGCCCCTTATTATAAGAATATTGGCATTGAGAAGCTGGGCTTGGATTCTTTGGACTGATCGTTAGAGGCTGGTGGAGGATAAGGCCCAATTTAAACCTCTACAGTGTAAGGAAGTTTGGCCGGAAAGGTCTTTTTGAATAAGTGTAGGTCTAACCTTAACTGCTTCAGACGTCTAAGCACAAGCAGGCTTTGAAAATAACACTCTTGAATTCACTGATTCAGCAAAACTTATTGAGCCCCTGCTATGTGTCAGGGACAGTGCTGGCAGCGGTGATAACAGTTGTGACTCAGCCAGGCCAGGTCCCTGCATGTACAGAGCTTATATTCTAGTGGGGTAGACAGAGACAGTGAGTAAACATTTAAATAATGAGCACTCACCACAGTATTAAATTACTAAGACGTAATTGAACAGGGTGAAGTAGACAAACAGGGATGAGGTAAGATGATGGGGGCCACTTTAGTTCAGGTGGTCAGGGAAGGGCTCTCTGAGGAGGGTGACATCTTAGCTCTATCATGAAGAATGAGCAGTGGCAGCAACGTGGAGACCTTGAGGACTAGTGTCCAGTTGGAAGTAATGAAGTATGAAGGCCTTGAGGCTGGAACAAGCTTGGTGGTATTCGAGGAAAATACAACCAGCATGGCTGGAGTCGGAGGGTGTTGGGGGCGTGGAATTGGAGGAGAATGTGGGGTGGGAGAAGTAGGCAGGAGCCAGGTGGCTTTATAGGCCAGCATGTTAGATGGAAAGAGAGAAAGTAGGATATGTCTGCACCAAGATATCACCAGTGGTGATTTCTGAAGATTTAATTTCCCTATGTCTGAGGCAGAGAGGGAAAAATGAGTCACAGTGGGAGAGGGGCTGTCAAGAGCCAGTGGGGAAGGTAAAACAAAAAACAAGAGCCAGTGGGGAGAGACTCAGCTCCAGAGGACCGGCAATTAAGAATGCAGGTGTTAATCATTCTTGCAATCTGAACTGGAATTTGTCAGCCCTTCTGGGCTTTTTTAGAGGAAGAAGTTGTGTTAGGATGTACCTTCCAGTTACGTGGCCTCGGATTTTATCAAAACTGAGTTTGGGGATAACATCTATTGCTTACCCTGAGCTCGTATGCATTATTTAATCCTTGAAACAACCTGGTGTGGTGGTGAAGTTACAGATCTTGCTAAGGTCACACAGTAGTGACAGAGCTGGGTCTTGCTGCAGAGGTCGTCTCTGTTCCCAATGGCTTTGTCGGCTGCTGCAGCTGGCTGGACCTACTGACCTTTCAGAAGTACTCCTGTCTGGCTGGGTAAACTAATGCCCTTGCTTATCTGAAGTTCTGTTTGTTTGAAAGCTTTCAACAGCTTAATTTGAGGTAGGAGGTGGTTTTGATTCTCTCTCTGTCTGCCCCTTCTGATTGCTTTGGTTTTTCTCTGGTAGTAAGGTCATCCACTAAGAGTTGAGGTGTTTCTGCAGCCACACACAGCTGTGCAAGTACCTCCAGATGAGTATGGTGGAGGTGGGGGAGAGTGCGTAATGAATGTATATAAGAGGGAGATCATAATGGTCTGTCAAAGAATAGTCTGTGTGAAGACATGAGGGGGCTGAGGGGTGGTGTAAAGGTGGTAGGACCAGTGGATTGTTGGAGTTGAGGTTTTGAAGGGAGTGAGCTAGAAAGATAGGATGCAGTGGGCAGTGAGTGAGATGCATGAAACTGAGGTTCTGAGGAGGCTGCAGTTATTGAGACAAAGGTCTAGGTGTGACCGTGGAAGGGAGCTTCTGAGGGGAGGACAGGATCACTGAAGGAGAGGAAGTCTAGGAGCCAAGAGGCCAGGATGGTTGGAGGATCAACTACCTGGATCTGGAAATCCCCAAGAATGATGACAGGAGCAGCAGCAAGAGTGAGCGTGAGCCAGCAGCTAAAACCATGAAGTGAGGAGTAGTGATCTGGGGCTGCAGATAAGCCACAGGTGAGGTACATTTACTCTGATGACGAAATTCGTCAGATGTTGAGAGAGTGGAGGGAGAGTGATGTAGAAGCAGCACTCACCTGGAAGGGCCCAAAAGAAGCTATACCCTCAGCAGAGAGCTGGGTTCAGTTAGAGTAAGAAAGTGGCAAGAATGTTCGGAGAAGAGATTGAGGGAATGAAAGGTTTTGCTTAAGATAGGTCGTAAGTACCAGAGACTCCAGGAGTTAGGGGAAGGGAGATGGCAACAAAACAGTATGTATGGGGATGAAGGGGGACTCAGGAGTCTGGGGCTGATACAGTCATAAGCAAGTGATAGGAGAGTCGTGTGGTCTCGAGACTGACAGTGTTGGTGAGGCACTGGGTGGTGGAGGGCAGAAAGGGAGGGGTGAGGGATGTAGTGGACACTTGGAGGCTTGGCACAGTGTCCTGACTCCAGACGTCTGCAGAGGGAGGTGGGGGAAAGCTGATACTGCCCCGGGTGTTCCTAGCGTTCAGGGAGAGTTCCACTCCACCATGGATGCATGTAGAGATTACAGACTGGCTGTTCCCACAAGGCCTCAAACAGGCTTTAGGTGACTTGTACAGTTTCTAGAATTGAAAATTTTTTATGGAAAATTTTGATTTTTGGCTTTGCCTGAAAGATATGAAGATCTGGCAGCACCAGGCCAGTGTTCCCACATAGTACCCATGGGCTGGTGCTGAGTGCTTCTTTTGGAAAGGACGTCTTTCTCAGTCTGTGTTTATTCACTTGGCCTGCCCTCTGTATTTTCTAATGACTCCCATGTTAAGTATATGCCCCATTTAGTAAATAGAGGTAGATAAAATATAATAGCTCCTTATAAATTGTACAGTGCGGTGACTGTGTGCATGTATGTTATTGTTGTTAGGAAACACCCTTTCAGGTGGCCACAAATGTGCATTTTTTTTCTCTTCTCAGGTGATAAGTCCTAGTATTTGGAGTGCCTCCCAAATACATAATTTTGATGAATATGAGGGCAGATAATATATTCTTTTTCAGGGTAATATATTCCTTTTCAGAATAGAACCTCAAAAATTCCTTTCGGGAGCAGTCAGTTAAGTGTAGTTCCTGCTGCCAGTAGCTTCGGCCAGGCCTTGGGCATCATAACTTGTGTTAATGGTTCCTTGGCTCATAGTCCTTTGTTGATTGTTCTTGGGAATTTCCACTGGAGACAAGTGCGGCAGCATTTGTGTGAGAGCCTCCACCACACTTTCAAGTGATCGTCCATTTGCATCAACCCGCCTGGGTTAATTTGTTTCCCCAGAACTCTGACTGAAAGAATGAACTTTCCAGCAGATCTCCAATAAGCATGTTATTAGTCATCATTCCTTTCTCTTCTCCTCACGTCTATGGATAGTGGTAAATTGAGTGGTCAAAGAGACGATGACAGATAAGAGTGGAAGTGTAGCTGGTGTTGGTGATCAGCTGGGAGTTCTCTAAGGCAGCATCTTGTATCCTTGTCCTTCACAGGAGAGGCGCTTGTTTTAATTGCAGGCAAGACAGTTTGGTTCCAGGACAGTTTGAAATATTTATCACTGAGTTATTCAACACATATTTATTGAGCACCTACCAAGTGCCAGGCACAGTTTTAGACCCTGGAAGCAAAGCACTGAATGAAACAGATGACACCCCCCACCCCATCCATGGCAGTTAAGGTGTAATGAGAGGAAAACAATACAAAAACCAAAAAATGAACAGTGAATAAATATTTGGGGATGAGTGCTATAAGGAAATGTAAGGTAAGGTTTGTGTGCTTAGTACTGAAAACATGGCCTTTGAGACCCAAATGGTGCCAGTCCCCTAAAGAACATTAAGGGGCTTGCCTTTAGGTACACTAAGGGAAAGTGGACCCTTGCCAGTAGAAATATTCCCTGGCCCAGGTCGGCATTTGAGAGCTCAGCCTGTGATAAAACAGATTTCTCTTTCACCCAACCCCCTACCTGTTTCTCATTTTACCTACCCTCAGAGTCATTTGCAACACTCCAGCTGGCCTCCAGGTAGTTGGCTAGTCAACCAAACCTGTGTTTGCCCTATTCAGAGGCTGAGAGCAATAAGTAATGAGGTAGCCTTTGATTCGTGTGAGATAGGAGAGAACCCTGAAGGGGTCACACTGAAATGACTTAACCCCAGGAGGCCTTGGTGGTCCACTGGTCACATGACTAATGAGGAATTCACAGATGACCCCCAGAAGCACTAGTGTCTGGATTATGGACATCCTTCTGTGTTCCTAGTCACAAATGTCATTTCACGTGTTGTTTCTGATGAGGTCTTCTTGAAAACTCCTTATGAAGGAATTCTGGAACTTGGATGCTGAGGCCCAGGAACTACTTAACCTTCAAGTTTATTTGAAGCACATTTTTCGTTATTGGGAAGCTATTTTAGAGGTGAGGG